ACATTCTTTATCTGCCTCAGCTGCTAACTAAACAGGTCTTTCTGAGGATCCTAGGTCAGATTTCCCAGAGAAAATCTCCTAGGCCCAAACTATGTTTTGGAGTCAGAATTTTGGGTTACACTTGCCCTGAACTTTCCACAGTCAGTGGCTGGGAAATGGTGATAATGGGAGAAATCATGAAAGAGAAAGTCACAGATACCAGAGCCACATCCCAGCCATGGGTCACTCACCTCTGGACCCCAGATCTCAGGGAAGGAAAATTGGGTAGGTCTTTAATAGTGTGTATAATATTTTCTTTATAAAAAGTTCCAAAAACTTGTACTAAACATTTATATCTGTTTAATATTAGGAGTGGGCCCACAAGCATTTTACATATTAACTTCTTGTTTTTTCTTTGTTTGAAATGTTTCAGAACTAAACATTTTTTCATCATTTTTTATATGATAAAAATTAACCTTCCTCCTAAACTAGTTTTCCAATCCAATAACTCAGTCTGTCTCTAGAGATGACTCATATTGTGAGACTCTTTCATCATTCCAGAAATCTTTTAAGACTATGTTGTCCAATACATGAGGTTATTGAACATTATAAATATGACTAGTCCAAATTGAGATAAGTGTAAGTGTAACACACTTTAGATTTCAAAGACACATTACAAAAAAAGAGAATGTAAATTACATCATTAATAATCCATTACATGCCCAAATGATAATAAATATATTGAATTAAATATATTAAAAAAATTATTTCCACTTGTGTTTTCTCACATTTTAATAAATTCAAAATTTGAAAATTGGAGAAATTAAATGTTTCAATCCCTATCATACAGGTATTTTTTATCATAGTGAAACCTAAGTAACTATAAATTCTATAAAATTTTAAAAAAACTATACTATATTGACTTTTTTATTTTCAAAGTACTTAGGAAATATAAAGCTGCCATGTTTATGCAAATACAGTAGGAATAACTGCCTTAAGGTTACAAGTCACACAATGTCGTATTCAGAAGACTTCATGGTTTATTTAATAGGGTGTTCATAACATTCCATATTTTCTAGGTAAGGAGTAATCACTATTCAATTGCTCTCAAACCTGGCCACAGGTTAAAATTTCATCAAGAGTGTTTTAGGAAGAGAGACTTCTAGGTCCAGCCTATAATCTGGTTCTTTAAAAAGAAACACATTTTTTTTCTAATGAAGTTTGGCTAGGTAAGAAAATTACAGCCCTCACCCGCATGGTTTCTCAACTTAAAAAAATATATTTTTTGTTACATGAGAAAATAATATATTTATATAATCAATAAATATTTATATGTGAATTGAAACTAAATGTTTTGATTAAATAAAATCATAAAATTTTGTTCTTTTTCAAAATTTGTTTATAAAGGGATAATCATATTATTATACCTTAAAAGGATAAGAAAAGTATGAAAGCCATGGAAATGAATTTGGAAGGTGTCTACATAATATTCTATTCATTTTCAGATTAATTTTTTAAAGACTGAAGTGGAAAGAAAGAGCAAAATGATCCGAGACCTCCAGAATGAGGTAAGAGTTATATTTTAGGCAAATTTTATATAAATCAAAGAATACACACAAATGCACATATAAATTTGCCACAAGTTTGAAGTATTGATCATATGAAAACTTAACCTTCAGTTATAGACTAATGGAGAGAAACTATAAGGCTAAGAATTTCAGAGTGGATATTTCTTATTTTATATATGTATTCAACAATGTTATTAGTTTAA